CGTGCGAAATAGCAGTGATCCGGCTGGATTCAAACCAACATCTTCCAGCGAACCGTGCCAGACTAAGCCTCGAAACGAACTAGTGGACCTTACGAATTTTTCTATGTACTTGTTGCAAGTCTTCGTTCTTGGTTTTTAACGATAATAAATATTTAAATATTTTTAACTTTATCTTTCTAGTGTTTCAATGCCACGAAAAGAAAAAACTATTTATTTAGCTCTGCATAAGATGACCTTAAGAGACCCTCCCAAACTTGCGTCTTTCCTGCGTTAGGCTTAACTCACACTAGCGCAGAGTCGAAGCGTCGCGTCGCATCCTGTTTTTCAACTACAACCCTCGGCGCATTAGTGCGCCCGGATCTCAGTGTGGTCGGTGTCTGACGCCTCACTGCGCTCAAGTGACGCGCGTCGACGCCCATTTCCATACTTGCATAACACAAATTTGTACCTTAATAATGGGAAAATAGACGTTATAGATGAATATACTATAGGCGAAACACATGACGCATCACGATTCTTCGACTCTGCGCCAGTGTGAGTTGAGAGCCTTAGCGTCTTGCCGACGTACGCACGGCGACGACGCCACGCCAGCGCAGCGTATACTCGACGTTCGGTACTATTTAGAGGGTCTATTCCCGTCCTCCGTCCGAAACAATTACTGTCAAATGAGTAATACTCGACTAAATAAAAAAAAAGGGAGTAGACCCCCAGTAGTCGCTCATCGAGGACGCGCCGGCGTGTGCACCACCGCCACGCGGACGTCGTGTCGACGCTGTGCGTACGTTGGCAAGACGCTGGCGCTCGAAAGACGCTAGTGTGGGGGATCTCTTACCCTTAGAAGAGATCCGTGCCTAGTAGTGGTTTTCTCATATGGCATAAACCATTAGAGGAAGTACACGAACCTAGTGAAACTATTTATACCGATTCCGTAAGTCTCCTGTGAGGACAGAGGGGCCAAAACATTCGTTTCGGAGACGAATGAACAAGTGTAAAAATAGCATGGTGCTAAAATGACCATGGCACTAAAATGGCCCTGTTCCACTAGTCTCTACTAGTTGTACCCCCATCTACTAGTTGTGCCCCCTGGTGTGGATTTTTTTCCACTCTTCCCTACCACACGATCACTGGTTGAGATAAATGGAAAGTCATTTCTTCTTGTCCCTGTCAGTAAAATCTTGACATATACAGAGTTTTTTTTATGATTCACGTTTACAACTTTTTATAAAAGCTACGACTATCTCGCTTTACAACTATTACTAAAATTTGGTACTTTATTGGTTGGAATGCTGTACTTGCAAATTCCCAACGTGGCCACTCATTGCACACACACATAGTTCGGTGCACCTCACCACATTATATCCAGGATGGAGTTAGAATACTAAAAAGCTGGTCACCAGAAGACGTAATATCCCAGCAAATTAGGTCCCAGAATGTTGTTCAACTTACAATGCTAATAGCATAATATAACAAGACAAATAGTGTAGCAGCGCGACTTGCACGGGCGAGTGAAAGTGAACCGATCGGAAAAGTAAGATCGATTGTACCGAAGGGCCGCTTTGGCCGTGTAGGGAAGCACATACTTACAATCTTGCGGTGCATTTGCGTTGCACAACGCGGGTCGTCTCACGTACTATTTTATAGAATTGAAGTATTTGCTCAGTGTTTAAAAAATTACATCAAATCGGCCTTGGAAAGGTAAAACGTTTAATATGCATTTGGAAAATATTACAAGAGTTTAAAGAAAAAAAAACAAATCTGATTTTATTTGTTACGTGGATAGCTGGTAAGTTTCAGCTTTTCCATATAACAAATATTTTTTTTTTTTAATCGCTCTGCTGTAATATTTGCCAAATGCACTTTAGACGTTTTACCTTTCCAGTGTCGAAATAACACGTGTTTATGGTTGTTTGAACAAGAGTGCCTCTAATTCAGAATTGTTCGGCATTTTATTTCTAGTTCATACTCATAATCCCATAATCGAGATCTGTGATGCTAGTATGTAAATATCAAACACGAGACACTGCAATGAGCACTTTGTCTTATTATACTATGCTAGTAGGTTGCTATTGGCATATCAAGTATCTGTTACCTATGGTCGCCGAGAAACTCGCTGCACAAAAGTAGCAAACAGTTATAGATGATGCATATTGTTCACCTTCTATGTTCGTGTTATATATTTTCAATAACTTTTGCTGAAATTATAATACGTTATCTTGTTTGTATTCTTATGAAGATTGTATGATATAAACAACGGACATAATGAATCGACAACAGGTGTTTAAATACCATGAACATGATGTTATTACAAAGGTGGCAAAGCATAGTTAACAGCACGCTAGGCTTTATATTTCAAACCGTTCGTATCGTGGCATAGAATAAAAATCAAAGTAATTGTGGCCACCTCTGCATGCTGTTGGCCGTGTCGTATAATAATATCGTCATCAATAAAAAGAAGATATTATTATATCATCGGGTGTTTTGTAGAAAAAAATTATTTTATAATTCAAATGTGAATTTAAAACAGGACGTAAATATTTCGGAACAGCCGTGAAAATCTAAAACATGCTCCCCTTTTTTTCGAAATGGCGCTTTCGCCTTTCTACTGCGGTCTATTGCAAATGCCTTTAGTCTGCGCTGGATGCTGATTCTATAGTTACTCCCTTCCCCGTCCAACATCCGTACCAATTACTATAAAATAAATGTAATACTCGACAAAATCAAAAGACAGTGGCAAGTATGACTTCATTCGCATCATACATCTTATAATTTGGTCGAATATCACTTACTTGACAGGAATTGTTTTAGACGGATGTCGGACGGAGAACGAGAGTAGACCTCCAAATATGTTCAAGCGCCATCTAATTCTGATACGCGCGCGCGCGCACATACACGCACACGCACACACACACACACACACACACACACACACACACACACACACACACACACACACACACA